TTTGTGAGGATGTGGATGCGACAGTTTCTGCTATTCGAGGAGGGGCTGTAGGAAATGAAGATATTTCTGTGTCCTTTGAATGTGTTGCTCTCCGTGTCTCTGTGTGTCTGGGAGGTGTTGGCGTTGACGATGTAGTTGTTGTTGGATGCTCAGTGCTGCTTCGGGTTATTGGAGCCGCTGTAAAAGCACAGGAATAAGTTTAATGTTAAAATTACGAATTGGACGTCAAGGTTTTTTAAAATAATTATTCACAAACAAAATATTCCAGCTGGGATGGAGTAGAATGATTGTCATAGGAAATCGGCGATTTGGCCGCGAATGTACGTTCCGCTAGTCCGCAGACCAGAAAATGCCTGCGTGAAACTGCATTTGACGGAAGACAATATCTTGAGCAGGCCAGTGCCACTTTTGTCCCTCAAACGCACCTTGATACCTGTTAATAGGACTTCCACTTTTGTTTACTTTCTGATCGTCGAACCATGGTTATCAAAGGAAGGTTAAGAAATGTTGCGGGAAAGACACTGTAAAACACTGTCTTGTCACAAGCCCAATGTTCACCGTTTAACAGTGCCTTGCTCTAATCCCCCCAACAGAAATCTGTTAACGTACGTAGGCAACCAAAGCCTGTACAAAAATGCCCAATCGGATCAATCAAATATCGACTGGACTGGCTTTCTGACGCATCCGACTGGCGTGGGAGAGTGCTAATCCCAGCAGCAGCAGCTACATGTGGGCGGACCGGTGATGTGGCGTGCGAGCGAGTCGGTTAGGCTGGATCCAAACAGCAGCAGCCACATGTGGGCGGACCGGTAACAGTAGGAGGGTTATGACATTGCGAAAGTGATTGCACTGCAACACAGGCCGTTATGTTTGGGGCTACGTATTACTTCCAGCAGCAGCAGCAGCAACAATAGCAGCAGATAGTACTCATTGAGGTGAGACAAGTGTTGATCGGGAAAATGGATCTCATAAAGAATCACAACGCTGAGAAAGTTTTCTTAATAATTTATGTAGTGGTATCTTTTACTGGCAATCGTGCCAACCTTTAGATCTGGACGGCTAAAAGCTCAATTGCCACCGCAAAGGATGGCAAGCTCCTAGGAGAAATCCAGATACGCAGCTGTTAGACTGGCTGTGGGAAATTAAATAAGCATTTCTATCGTTACTTTCATCGCCCTCTGATATTGGTCACTTCTCTTCACTGCTCAGCAAAAGAGCAGCTCGTGCGTGTCCTGGCACAAGCCCCTCCATTGTTTGAAGCGTTTTGATAGCAGTTTCGATAGATTGAAGCAGTATAGTCCGCGCTAATCTAGCCAATCCTCACTGATTTGGGAAACTTTCATGTAGCAATGAAAAAGCGCGCGAAAATTGAAAAAAAAGATAAAAAGCAGTACATTACCACTATCACTCTGACAGAACTGTGGAAGCTTCTCTTTCGTGGTGTAATCTACAATTGTCTGTGACCCAACCTTGATCCTACAGGTTGTCCCTAAGCCAACAGTAGACGGCTTGGGGTATACAAGTCCAAGGCCCCTTTCGAATGAATTGTAGATCCAAAAAATCATTTAAGAGAATGCGGGACACCATTAAGTCCCCTACAAAAGACAAACCATGACTGGAAAGCCGACAGTTCCAATATCCACCACTACCGGGGTGGCACCACGTTGCTATTTGTATGCGTTTGGATTTGGCGGCCGCAGTAGGGTTCGAAACTTGAGCGGAATTATATATTTTATTACTCCGTATCACCGAGAAGGCTGACTGAATTCAGGAAGTCCTGTTACCCAAATAGCAGGCAATAGAGGTAGGAAAAAATGCTCTCCGAAAATTTCTTATCAAGATACACACGGAACACTCAGATATATTCGATTACAGATTATGTAGACAAATAGACGCCTTTACTAAAACTGACCATTTTATTCCTCCATTAGCTGATATACAAATGGGCAAATTTAAGAGTTTTAAACAAAGTGACCGAATAAATGGAATGAGGCATCAACATCGTTGTGTGCCTTAGAGCTTTAAACTTGACCCTAGACAAAGTAAACTAAATGTCACCATAAATGCATAGATCTAGTTTACGTAGGAGATGGCAATAGTCGGATCGCTCTCATTATCAGAGGTCCAAGTAAGAAATAAACCTGACGGAAGGGTTCCACCTAGAGAGAACAAAACATTAATTAGATAGTAGACGAACATCGATTGTTTCATATACCTTAAAATTAAAAACAGTCCAGATTGTTATGGGTAAAAACTGCTTTACAAATATGATCGCAGATAAAATTAACGAGAAGTTTCGCCTCAGCATTGACCTCCATCACCGAAAGCTTATCTGCATCGGCTTATTACATGAAAAAGTATAGAGACCAACAAAACTCACTGTACAGACAGAAGGAAAGAAATCTCTATTTCTCAAAGTCATCCTTCAAGCGGACGGGACGTACGATCTCATAAGAAGATATCTTAAGCAGACGGTTTCACGAACCTACCTAGTAGCAAAACGTTGAATATGTCTATCAACCAAAGTATTTTGCCAGCAGAGGGTACCCGGTCAGATCACCTCCAAGGAAAGTGACCGGTATACTTACAAGCAGGTTATATTAACCGCACGTGTCGGCCCATATACAAGGCAATATATGAAATACTGTAGGATAATTTCGCCACCGGACAGATAGCCACGTAGAAATCTCACACACCAGTGGTTTCCGGCATCGCATCGAGCCCAACGGATGCTTCCGCTTG